TTCTTCTTCCTCCTCCTTGTTCTTCCTATTCTTCTTCTTCTTCCTCCTCCTCCTCCTCCTTCTTCTTCTTCCCCTTTTTCTTCTTCTCCTTCTCCTTCTCCTTCTCCTTCTTCTTCTTCTTTCTTCTTTCCTTTTTCCCTAAGGCAGAATCTGGCTGGGTGTCTCAGGCCAGAATGCCGTGGCACAATCTCAGCTCACTGTAAACTCAACCTCTGGTTTAAAGCAATTTTTGTGTGTCAGTCTCCTGAATATGTGGGACTACATGTGCATCAACCATTGGATAAATTGTAATATTGGCAAGGCTGGTCTTGAACACTTGGACTCAGGTGATTCACCTGCCTTGGCCTCCAAAAGTGCTGGGATTACAGGTTTGAGCCACTATACCTGCCCTCTAATGCACATTTTCATGACATTAGTTTCATGCTGAAAGTCAGTTTGTAATTGTTTTTGTTGGTATTTAATATCTTCTAGATTCTGAGCCTAGATCTGCAGCATGGCTGAACAAATCTGTTCAAGTCCTGATATTCTTTGCCTTTCAGCTTCATGTCTTTCTGTTTCAGCATGGTCCATTTGGAGCAACATTCAGACAACTTTACTTTCAGCCATGAATTCTCTCATCCTGTAACTTTGGCTCCTTCCTCTCTTGGGGATAATAGTCTCTCTCCCTGTTTGTCTACTTAAGACTTCTAAGGCACAGACATTACTCTTTCCAGGAGGTGCTTACCTATCACATTAGTTTTTTTGTCTGTCTGTCTTAAAAATTCAGCACTGATGTAACACAGTACCTGGTATATGTAAGTAGGTGTGTGTGTATATATATATACCGGTGACACTAGCTGCACACATTTTCAGAAGCAGCATTTACCATGCATTTGACATATTATAAAACTGTTGGTGTCACAAGCTAAGTCTTGACAAGATTCATCATTCAGTTTTCTGGGATAGCTGAGATTGAAATGAGGTATGGATTTGGACAGCCAGATTGCTCAGACTAGAGTCTTATTGTTGCCATTCTACCATATGCATATATTTTCAAGTTGTGTCTAAGTATTAAGTAATTGGAATCAATGATCCACATGAGAAATCCTGATTTCTTATCCTGTGATACCATGCCACAGCACAATTGTCTTTTCAGCTATGTCCACATGCTATTAAGATATATACCACATTTTAGTTCTCAAATTTTATTTTCAGAGGGTTGTCAGATAGACATGGTTAAATGCTGAACACTAAGAAGGTTTTAAAGAAATGTAGCCAGGCCTCACACCTTTAATGTCAACACTTTGGGAGCCTAAGATGGGTGGATGACATGAGGTCAAGAGTTTGAGACCAGCCCGGTTGCATTTTTTAAAAATATATGAAACCCCATCCTTCTAAAAACTGCAATAATTAGCCAACCATGGTGGTGGACCCGTGTAATCCAAGCTAGTCAGGAGGCTAAGACAGGAGAATTGCTTGAACATCAGAGGCAGAGGTAGCAGTAAGCCAAGACATTGTCACTGCACTTTTGGCTGGGGGACAAAGACTATACCACAAAAGAATCAACAACAACAGGTTGATGATTAAAAATAATAAAACGAAAAGATTAACTTGGGCGAACAACAGGACAACAAGAAAAAAGACAATGACATTTTAGAAAAGGTAGGATAAAGTAATGAACGATAATCAGACATGTTAAAATGTGAACTACTATATCATAAGGATAAGGCCAGAATAAGGCAAGTGTCAAACAAACAGCAACAACAACAACAAAAACAGCAATGAAAAAATGAACACAGGGAGGAGGAGAGAGAGGTGATGAAGGAAAAAGAAGTAAAGCAAATGCAAAACATTAAATAGCTGGCATGATTAGAATATCTCTCTGATGCTATATCTTCCTAATATTTATGTTAAACTAGCTTTAACTCCTTCAACAGCAAAAATTACTTCAAATTTGCTGCCCAAAAGTAACAACACGGATGTTCTAAACCTTGCATCATCATTTACATGATAAAGTAGATGGAGCAGAGGTACTTTACCCTCTCCCATAAATACAATTAATATCCCTGCATGTTACACATGCAGCAAACATAAGTTTCTGAAAGGGGATAAACTGGAGAGAAAATTTAAGGCTTAGCAAGTGATAAGATGGCTGAATTAAGAACTTGCTTTATGTTTCTGGGGGTACTCCTGTGTTGGGTGTATATATATATTTAGAATGGCTAGCTTTTCTTATTGCATTGTTCCTTTTACCATTAGGTAATGCCCTTCTATGTCTCTTTTGAAATTTATTGGTTTAAGGTCCATTCTATCAGAAACTAGTATTGTAATTATTGCTTTTATTTGCTCTCCATTTCCTGATATATTTTCCTCCATCTATTTATTTTGATCCTATGTGAGTACTTGTACATGAGATGGGTTTTCTAAACACAGAACATGGATGCATTTTGACATTTTATCCAGGTTGCCAGTCTGTGTCTTTTGATTGGGGCATTTAACCAATTTATATTTAAGTTTTATATTGTCATGTGTGATTTTTATTCTGCCATTTTGATGTTAGCTGGTTGTTTAGCCCATTAGTTGACACAGTTTTTTATTATGTTGATGGCCTTTACCATTTGGTACATTTTTATAGTGGCTCGTGCTGGTTGTTCCTTTTCAGGTTTAGTGTTTCTTCCAGGAGCTCTCATAAGGCAGGACTGGTGGTGATAAAATCTTTCAGCAATTGCTTGTTATTAAAGGACTTTATTTCTCCTTCACTTATGAAGCTTAGTTTGGCTTTATATAAAATTCTAGGTTGAAATATTTTTATTTTTGTTTTTATTTTTTCCCTTAAGTGCATTGAATATTGGTCCTTTCCAGCTTGAAAGACTTTTTTCTTTTCTTTTCTTTTTTCTTTTTCTTTCTTTCTTTCTTTCTTTTTTTTTTTTAAGGACATTGAGTATCGGCCTCAACTGTCTTCTGGCTTATAGCACTTCTGCTGAAAGACCCCCTGTGTGTCTGATGGGCTTCCCTTTGTGGATAATCCAACCTTTTTCTCTGGATGCCTTTAGCATGTTTTAACCCCAGTGAATCTGATGATTATGTGCCTTGGTGTTGCTCTTCTTAAGAAATATTTTATTGTGTTCTCTGTATTTTCTGGACTTGAATGTTGGCCTGTGTTGCTAGGTTGGGGAAGTTCTCCCAGATAGTATCATGAAGAGTGTTTTCCAGCTTGGATTCATTCTCCCCATCATATTCCGATATAACTACCAAACATAGATTAGGTCTTTTCACATAATCCCGTATCTCTTGGAGGCTTTGCTCATTTACTTTCACTATTTTTTCTCTAATATTGCATTCTTGTTTTATT